TTGATTGCAATAAATCAAAGAAGCTTTCCTAAGAAATTAATTGATCCAGCAGAAAAAATATATGAAATGATTAAAAAAGGGAGATGGTGACTCTCTGAAAAATAATTGGAAAATTTTCGGAATAACTTAAAAATGACTCCAAAAAATAGTAAAAGAGAAGCTTTTAACATTAAGTGTTTTAGGATCTTAAAGTTCAGGTAAATCAATAATTTTAAATACAATATTTTTGGCTCATTTTTGGACAAGTGTTGAAAATATAATAAGGAATACTTTAATAATCATTAAAACTTGATTCAAGAGAATTATAGAATTCAAATTAGGTAGATCCTGAGTTTGATAAAAAAATGGCACTTTTTATATTAGCTATAACCGATATAATTTTGATTAATATTAAGGGCGATATTCGTTGACATTTAAAAATTTAGTTGAAATATTCATATTTACTTTAGTGTCCATGAAAACGAATCTCTCGTCTTTAAAACAATTAAGTTGGTGATTTAATTAAAATAATGATGACAACAACTTTGTTCCATTTTTAAACTAAATACAAGCACTTGCCAATAATTTAATTTAGAGGACAATAATGAGCAAAAGTGTAAAAAACTAAACTATTCTATAATGAAATTTGAATATTTCAAAAGAGAACATAGAAATATTGGGATTTGCATTCATTGAAAAATTATGGAGAAAGAATGAAGGTAAAAGTCCGAATAAAGACAGGAGATAATCGATAATTAATGAAACTTTTTCAGAGGAAGCTTATCTTTATGAGATAAGAGTGTATAAGAATATTATCAAAAAAGCCCCGAGCCCCAAGCAGACACATCACAAATGTAAAGTTTAAGCTTATTCATATAAAATATAAGTTCTAATTGGTAAACTATTTGTAATTTACCAATTTATTTGAATTTGCTGAAATAAGATAATTAATTTCATTAAAACAAGATTAATTAAGGAAACACTAATGTTCATGAAATTTATGATAAAGAAAAATTTTATTTTTACAAATACAATTAATTGGAAGGTAAAATATTGAAAAAGTAGGCTTCAAATTTGAATTTGTTGAATTAAATTTTAGTTGATAAAAATGAATTTAATTCTCATGCTCCACATTTTCATTCTTGAAAAATAGTAATTTAAATAGGATAAATAAATTTAGAAATAGATTTACCTTAAATATATCGGGATTTGAAACATTCTGGGGGGGGGAAGCAACAAGTGAATTGGAACAACAACAAAGAATAATGTTAAGAGAGTATTCTGTCAAATCATATTAATGTATTTCCTTTTCTTTTAATGAGTACAAATTAACAACAGATAATGAGCAAAAATATTGTTTCTTGAGAAAGTTGAGAATAATTCTCCTTTTCGATAGGAGTTCAATGAAAAAAATTTTAATTTATGCTATTTTCACAAATAATTATAAACTTAGATTATGATGTGATAGGTCTTAACTGTTGGAACTAATTTGATATTATTGTATTTTGTTTTTAAATACACCTTAGTTACATAATTAAGGAAAAAAAAGTAAACCTTAATAAAAAATCAAATCTCAAAACAATTGTAAATCTTAGAAAAAAAGAAGGTTTAATTGGAGGCTTAAATAATAGTTAAAAGCAAGATATAAAAACAATTCTTTTTTCGTAAAATGACCAAAAATTTTTATTAAATAGTTTTTGCAAACAAATTTTCAAAATTATTAATCATATTAGATGATTAGATAGAATTAACTAGAAAAGTAAATCCAAAAGAATTATCAAGTTGGAAATCAAAAAGGTAGAATTAGAATAAGATGCTAAAATCTTTTGTGAAAATTTCAACAAGAAAATAGAGATAATCTGAAGTTATCATTGGCGAAGTAAGTCCAGGCAAGTGCTTGCCTTAAAGTAGTCAGGCATCATCGTCAATGCTAAAGAAAAAATAAATTAAACTGATCTTATATCTGATGTTTGAATTGATAATTATCTATTCTCTAAGTCAATAATAACAATCTTATTCATTTAGCATTTTAGTCTTATTGCTATTTTTTAATCAAAAATAAATATTAAAAATATTTATAAATTATAAATGGAATTTTATGAGAAATACCAAAAATTTTGGATAAGTAGCTAAAAAGTTAAATTATAAGCCTCAAGTTTATTGCTTTAGTAAAAGAAAGCATTTAGTGTGACAGCAAGTTTAAAATAAATAAATACTAAAATGAATAATGAGAAATGGGTTTTGACTAAAGGGTAAACATAAAGAATACAAAATAGGGTGTAACCCAATAAGTTAAAAGAAAAGAAAAAAATGAGTTTATAAATAAAAATATATTAGGAAAAGAAAAACAAAAAAAGACTTTAGAAATATATGTCAGATTAAAATCAAGTCTATTTAGCATAATATTGTAAAACAATATTCTAATAATCTTAAGAAGCTTCAAAATTCTGTGATTCAGCAATTCAGTAAAAACTAGAAGATTGTAATAACTAATGTATAATTGAAAATTCATAATATTTTAGGGGCTAGGAAATTTGAGAACGACTATAAATACATGTTGAAAAACGCTGTTAAATAATATTATTCAGCATTAATTCTAAATAAATTAAATAGATTTGAGGAGGCCTTGGAAAATTATGATTCAGCAATTTAAAAAAATCCAGAAAATTCTGACTATTATAATGGCAAAGGTACTAGTAACTATTGATGATTTCTTAGCTAATACATTATATAAAATGAATAGATTTGAGGAGGCTTTGGAAAATTATGATTCAGCAATTTAAAAAAATCCAGAAAATTCTGACTATTATATTGGCAAAGGTACTAGTAACTATTGATGATTTCTTAGCTAATACATTATATAAAATGAATAGATTTGAGGAGGCTTTGGAAAATTATGATTCAGCAATTTAAAAAAATCCAGAAAATTCTGACTATTATATTGGCAAAGGTACTAGTAACTATTGATGATTTCTTAGCTAATACATTATATAAAATGAATAGATTTGAGGAGGCTTTGGAAAATTATGATTCAGCAATTTAAAAAAATCCAGAAAATTCTGACTATTATATTGGCAAAGGTACTAGTAACTATTGATGATTTCTTAGCTAATACATTATATAAAATGAATAGATTTGAGGAGGCTTTGGAAAATTATGATTCAGCAATTTAAAAAAATCCAGAAAATTCTGACTATTATATTGGCAAAGGTACTAGTAACTATTGATGATTTCTTAGCTAATACATTATATAAAATGAATAGATTTGAGGAGGCTTTGGAAAATTATGATTCAGCAATTTAAAAAAATCCAGAAAATTCTGACTATTATATTGGCAAAGGTACTAGTAACTATTGATGATTTCTTAGCTAATACATTATATAAAATGAATAGATTTGAGGAGGCTTTGGAAAATTATGATTCAGCAATTTAAAAAAATCCAGAAAATTCTGACTATTATATTGGCAAAGGTACTAGTAACTATTGATGATTTCTTAGCTAATACATTATATAAAATGAATAGATTTGAGGAGGCTTTGGAAAATTATGATTCAGCAATTTAAAAAAATCCAGAAAATTCTGACTATTATATTGGCAAAGGTACTAGTAACTATTGATGATTTCTTAGCTAATACATTATATAAAATGAATAGATTTGAGGAGGCTTTGGAAAATTATGATTCAGCAATTTAAAAAAATCCAGAAAATTCTGACTATTATATTGGCAAAGGTACTAGTAACTATTGATGATTTCTTAGCTAATACATTATATAAAATGAATAGATTTGAGGAGGCTTTGGAAAATTATGATTCAGCAATTTAAAAAAATCCAGAAAATTCTGACTATTATATTGGCAAAGGTACTAGTAACTATTGATGATTTCTTAGCTAATACATTATATAAAATGAATAGATTTGAGGAGGCTTTGGAAAATTATGATTCAGCAATTTAAAAAAATCCAGAAAATTCTGACTATTATATTGGCAAAGGTACTAGTAACTATTGATGATTTCTTAGCTAATACATTATATAAAATGAATAGATTTGAGGAGGCTTTGGAAAATTATGATTCAGCAATTTAAAAAAATCCAGAAAATTCTGACTATTATATTGGCAAAGGTACTAGTAACTATTGATGATTTCTTAGCTAATACATTATATAAAATGAATAGATTTGAGGAGGCTTTGGAAAATTATGATTCAGCAATTTAAAAAAATCCAGAAAATTCTGACTATTATATTGGCAAAGGTACTAGTAACTATTGATGATTTCTTAGCTAATACATTATATAAAATGAATAGATTTGAGGAGGCTTTGGAAAATTATGATTCAGCAATTTAAAAAAATCCAGAAAATTCTGACTATTATATTGGCAAAGGTACTAGTAACTATTGATGATTTCTTAGCTAATACATTATATAAAATGAATAGATTTGAGGAGGCTTTGGAAAATTATGATTCAGCAATTTAAAAAAATCCAGAAAATTCTGACTATTATATTGGCAAAGGTACTAGTAACTATTGATGATTTCTTAGCTAATACATTATATAAAATGAATAGATTTGAGGAGGCTTTGGAAAATTATGATTCAGCAATTTAAAAAAATCCAGAAAATTCTGACTATTATATTGGCAAAGGTACTAGTAACTATTGATGATTTCTTAGCTAATACATTATATAAAATGAATAGATTTGAGGAGGCTTTGGAAAATTATGATTCAGCAATTTAAAAAAATCCAGAAAATTCTGACTATTATATTGGCAAAGGTACTAGTAACTATTGATGATTTCTTAGCTAATACATTATATAAAATGAATAGATTTGAGGAGGCTTTGGAAAATTATGATTCAGCAATTTAAAAAAATCCAGAAAATTCTGACTATTATATTGGCAAAGGTACTAGTAACTATTGATGATTTCTTAGCTAATACATTATATAAAATGAATAGATTTGAGGAGGCTTTGGAAAATTATGATTCAGCAATTTAAAAAAATCCAGAAAATTCTGACTATTATATTGGCAAAGGTACTAGTAACTATTGATGATTTCTTAGCTAATACATTATATAAAATGAATAGATTTGAGGAGGCTTTGGAAAATTATGATTCAGCAATTTAAAAAAATCCAGAAAATTCTGACTATTATATTGGCAAAGGTACTAGTAACTATTGATGATTTCTTAGCTAATACATTATATAAAATGAATAGATTTGAGGAGGCTTTGGAAAATTATGATTCAGCAATTTAAAAAAATCCAGAAAATTCTGACTATTATATTGGCAAAGGTACTAGTAACTATTGATGATTTCTTAGCTAATACATTATATAAAATGAATAGATTTGAGGAGGCTTTGGAAAATTATGATTCAGCAATTTAAAAAAATCCAGAAAATTCTGACTATTATATTGGCAAAGGTACTAGTAACTATTGATGATTTCTTAGCTAATACATTATATAAAATGAATAGATTTGAGGAGGCTTTGGAAAATTATGATTCAGCAATTTAAAAAAATCCAGAAAATTCTGACTATTATATTGGCAAAGGTACTAGTAACTATTGATGATTTCTTAGCTAATACATTATATAAAATGAATAGATTTGAGGAGGCTTTGGAAAATTATGATTCAGCAATTTAAAAAAATCCAGAAAATTCTGACTATTATATTGGCAAAGGTACTAGTAACTATTGATGATTTCTTAGCTAATACATTATATAAAATGAATAGATTTGAGGAGGCTTTGGAAAATTATGATTCAGCAATTTAAAAAAATCCAGAAAATTCTGACTATTATATTGGCAAAGGTACTAGTAACTATTGATGATTTCTTAGCTAATACATTATATAAAATGAATAGATTTGAGGAGGCTTTGGAAAATTATGATTCAGCAATTTAAAAAAATCCAGAAAATTCTGACTATTATATTGGCAAAGGTACTAGTAACTATTGATGATTTCTTAGCTAATACATTATATAAAATGAATAGATTTGAGGAGGCTTTGGAAAATTATGATTCAGCAATTTAAAAAAATCCAGAAAATTCTGACTATTATATTGGCAAAGGTACTAGTAACTATTGATGATTTCTTAGCTAATACATTATATAAAATGAATAGATTTGAGGAGGCTTTGGAAAATTATGATTCAGCAATTTAAAAAAATCCAGAAAATTCTGACTATTATATTGGCAAAGGTACTAGTAACTATTGATGATTTCTTAGCTAATACATTATATAAAATGAATAGATTTGAGGAGGCTTTGGAAAATTATGATTCAGCAATTTAAAAAAATCCAGAAAATTCTGACTATTATATTGGCAAAGGTACTAGTAACTATTGATGATTTCTTAGCTAATACATTATATAAAATGAATAGATTTGAGGAGGCTTTGGAAAATTATGATTCAGCAATTTAAAAAAATCCAGAAAATTCTGACTATTATATTGGCAAAGGTACTAGTAACTATTGATGATTTCTTAGCTAATACATTATATAAAATGAATAGATTTGAGGAGGCTTTGGAAAATTATGATTCAGCAATTTAAAAAAATCCAGAAAATTCTGACTATTATATTGGCAAAGGTACTAGTAACTATTGATGATTTCTTAGCTAATACATTATATAAAATGAATAGATTTGAGGAGGCTTTGGAAAATTATGATTCAGCAATTTAAAAAAATCCAGAAAATTCTGACTATTATATTGGCAAAGGTACTAGTAACTATTGATGATTTCTTAGCTAATACATTATATAAAATGAATAGATTTGAGGAGGCTTTGGAAAATTATGATTCAGCAATTTAAAAAAATCCAGAAAATTCTGACTATTATATTGGCAAAGGTACTAGTAACTATTGATGATTTCTTAGCTAATACATTATATAAAATGAATAGATTTGAGGAGGCTTTGGAAAATTATGATTCAGCAATTTAAAAAAATCCAGAAAATTCTGACTATTATATTGGCAAAGGTACTAGTAACTATTGATGATTTCTTAGCTAATACATTATATAAAATGAATAGATTTGAGGAGGCTTTGGAAAATTATGATTCAGCAATTTAAAAAAATCCAGAAAATTCTGACTATTATATTGGCAAAGGTACTAGTAACTATTGATGATTTCTTAGCTAATACATTATATAAAATGAATAGATTTGAGGAGGCTTTGGAAAATTATGATTCAGCAATTTAAAAAAATCCAGAAAATTCTGACTATTATATTGGCAAAGGTACTAGTAACTATTGATGATTTCTTAGCTAATACATTATATAAAATGAATAGATTTGAGGAGGCTTTGGAAAATTATGATTCAGCAATTTAAAAAAATCCAGAAAATTCTGACTATTATAATGGCAAAGGTACTAGTAACTATTGATGATTTCTTAGCTAATACATTATATAAAATGAATAGATTTGAGGAGGCTTTGGAAAATTATGATTCAGCAATTTAAAAAAATCCAGAAAATTCTGACTATTATAATGGCAAAGGTACTAGTAACTATTGATGATTTCTTAGCTATTACATTATATAAAATGAATAGATTTGAGGAGGCTTTGGAAAATTATGATTCAGCAATTTAAAAAAATCCAGAAAATTCTGACTATTATATTGGCAAAGGTACTAGTAACTATTGATGATTTCTTAGCTATTGCATTAATAAATATGTATAGATTTGCAGAAGCTATGAAAATTTATGATTTCGCCTTTTAGGAACATACTGATTTAAAAGGTATAATATTTATTAATTTTTAGCGATAACTGTAACTAAGATTGTTAATGCTTTAGAAACTTTAAAATTTTACCATCATAAATTTAGCTTCTAACAATGAATATCACCAGAATTTATATATTTTTTGTTAAAAATAATGTATTTCTATTCGCATTCTTAAACTATATTATTAATACCAATCATATATTAAGTGAGGGGTTGGTAGTATAACTTTTTTTTAGTACTTGTAATTTTTTCGATAGAAAAAATTCTTTATAGAGAGAGAGAGAGTAAGTAATTTAGAGAATTATTTTTTCGTTTAGAAAAAAAATCCTCAAAATTCGTGAAAATCAGTAAATTTGAGAAAAAAAACATCTAAGACCTTGACGCGAAGGCAAAAAATCCCCGGGTTTGGGTTTGGGTTTGGGTTTGGGTTTGGGTTTGGTTTGGGGTTT